AAGAGGACACAGGCTCTGCCCGCTCGACCCCCCCGCCACCGGCAGGCAGCCTCAGCGGCAGCAGGACCCTGCCCAGCAACAGCAGTGAGTGCCAGCGGTGGACCGCGAGGGGAGGTGGAAGGGAAGCAAGCAGCTCAGCAACCAAGGGGTACAGGGCTGGCAGAACATGGGGGATGCTACTACTGGAGGGTAGATTGCCTGGAAGGTGTTGAGTGTGTGAGGTTCTGTCCTCAGATACCTGTGCTGGGTTGTCTAGCCCAGCCACAGCTATCCAGGAATTTAATGGCCGTATAGGGAGATCTTGTGTCTCTGAGCTTGTTCTGCACTGGTGAGAGAGGACAGCAGCAAGTGTATGCAGACAGGATGGATGGTTCTGGGTCTCTGGATGCAGGGGCTGAAATGGCAGATGGGGTCTGGCCTGCCTGGTTAATGCAGCCTGCAGAAGTCCAGGAGAGCTGTCTCTTGGCTCAGCCAAGCCAAAACCAGATCCGAGTACTGCAGCTGGGAGTAGCTCATGGGACATCCACCTTGCCCTGTTGGGGGTCCTGGGAGGATGAGGAGCACTGACTGCTGTCTTTGCCAGCTGGGCTGGGAGTCTTGTGGGGCTGAGGGTGCAGTGGGAATCTTGCACAGGCAAGCAGCCCTTCTTCCCCAAGCCTTGGTGCAGGGGCCAAGCAGCTGCTAAGCCAGCTATTGATAGCTGCCTTCTTCCTCTTCTTTCTTCTCTCAACCAGGCATCTAACTGTCATTCCCCCAATCTGGGCTACAACTGACAGGTTTGACCTCTCCAAAATCCTTGGGAACAAAAGTGTGTATCAGGGACTCTGCATTGTTTCCCCAGGGTCTGCGCATATCCTGATCTCTGCAGCCCCTTCATCCAGCAGGATGAAAGGCATCTGCCCCTGTCCCTCAGTGAGGGAGGAGTGACAAGGCGTTAGGGTTCACCATGAACTTCTTTGCCGGCTCCTCCACAGGACAGGATGCCCAGAACCAGGTCTGGGGGGACCAGATATAAGGGGAAAAGGCTTATAGTGTGAATGTGCCCCTTATAGACGCTCAGGGTTTGCAATTTCCCCCAGCAGAGTCACAGACAGGTCTGACCCTGCTGGAGCCAGGGGTCTCAGCAGTGTCTGGTGAGGCTTCCTCCTAGCTGAGGATGAGAGGAGCAGGCAAGACTCCGAGGGGGAACAGACTTGAGTAGCATGGCCGAGGTGGTGACGTGCCAAGCGTGGGGCTCACAAAGAGGATTCCTGTGCAGGCCCAGTTATTAGCCCATCTCCATGCAGAGGCAGTGCAGTGTCATGTGCTGTGCTTACAGTTCTCTCACAGCAGTACCTTCCCTCCCCAGAGGCCAGGGCTGAAAAGGTAAGCAGCGTCACCCTGGCTGCGCCCAGCCCTTGGGCTGCCACCTCCACTACAGCTGCCTGGAGACTAGCCTTCTTTCAAAATCTTCTGACAACGAGACACTGGGAGTTTATTCTTTGGCTGGATTGGCCCCAGATCCTTTCTATCTTGGAGACATGCTGAAATGCAGCAGCCACCCAGATGTCTAATGCATCTCATAATATTTGCTCTTCTCCCATCAGGTTTACTCAGACTAGAGGCCCTGATCCAAACATCTCTGATACAGGGCAAAAACAAGTCCTGCTCTAAATTTCAAGGCACTAGTGAGCCTTTCTGAGCCTCAGAGCCCAGCACCCTGCAGCTTCGGTGCTCTGTTATCCCCGAGCAATTAACAATGTTATACTCAGCTCCAGATGCCCTATCTGCCTCTGCTGACACTGGATGTGGGCATTATTCGTTCCAGACAGGCCTTTCTCTTTTGATTAGTAATTACTGTACTGGACAAAAGCCTGGCCTCTCCCTCAGATATGAGTCAGGAGTGACTCCATCCCCTGGAGAACGGGAGAGGCTGAAGGCAGCCTCATCCTGCTGATGTTTCTAATCAGCTGGGCCATCACTACTAGGAGGCAGTTCCCAGCCCTGCAGGAGAACAGTCTCTTTACCAAACAATTCACAGGAGCTGGAGCTCCTGCTTACCGAGCCCTTTCTTCTCCAAAGGCCTGCTTTCTCTGCCACCTCTGGGATGAGCCAGGGCTCTTAACGCTCTGCAGCAGAACTGCTGTACCCATCAGCAACATTCCCCAAGGAGGCTCCCAGGACACTGGATGTACTCAACGCCTTGGTGGGAAGCAAGGAAAGTGAGTGCTCTGTCTCCAACTGCAATTTTGCCAGGACACTAGGATTAGTAGCCTGAGACAGTTAGCAATGACAAGGGCTGCTTAGATCTTGCACTGGGCATCAGGAAAGCCTGGGAGGGAAGAGATGAAAGCACTGCTTTTCTATCTCATCCAAAAACCAGCTAGTGCTGGCTCCCCAGCCCTGGAGGCCGGCACAGCCCTGGCCTGAGGGCCGTGTTTGGTGCAGCCAGGCTCCACCTGTGCTTATTGAAGTGTTGCAGTTCATTAGCCAGCAAGTAAGCCTGGAGTCCATTGAGGATTCCTCAGAGGAGGTGAATAAGAAAAGCAATCTACAGCAGTGGCTTAAACACTCTCCAGTGGTCTGTGCCTCTCTTGGAAAATACTTGTGAGGGCTGCAGACAGCAGGACCATTACTCTGGAAATGTTTCCTCTGGTAATGGGTCCTGAAGTCCTGAGCAGAGATGACAGGTTCTGCTGTGCGAAACTCCAGTGTCAGGAGTGGCTCTGCTCTCACCACAGCCTTTCAGCTGGCATGCAAGGCCCTCACAGAGCATATAGGGAGCTGGGAGCAGGCTCTGGAGAGGAGCTCTCCATGGAGGTTTGCAGGGAGATGGCTGTGCCAACAGCACTCTCCCCAGAAGAGAAACCCTTCACCTTTCCACATGATGCTGGAAGAGGATCATTTGCTTCAAGTCACTAGATTTGCATCATTTTTGCATCGCTTTCTTCAAAGCATCCTGAGTCCTTTTCAGCTCCTCTGCCAGGCCACAGCGTCCCAGGGGAGAGGCTCGGTTGTTATGCTGAGGCAGGGTGTGAGGAGCTAAGGGATTCTATTCCACCTGCCCAGTACACTCACGCTGTCCTTATCTGTTGTATCACAGAGTATCTGGGATGGCAACAGCAGCACCTTCATCCCCAGTCAGGCTGCACAGAGCTTATGGCTTCTCAGTGTATAAATTCAGCTTATTGTTTTGGTCGCAGAAAGTAGCCCTGTCTGTGGCAGGGTGGAGGATGGTGTGTGAAAAGGAGGCTGTGTAAATCCCAGGACAGGTTGGGAACACAGCTTGGAAAAGGTGATTCTCTGATGCTCACAGACATGATTGTGCCTGGCAGATACCAGAGCAGGCAGGAGGAACAGGAGTCTGGGGTCTTGTATGGTACTGCTGGTGAACCAGGGGCAAACAGCAAGTCCTGTCACCCCCAGTGACACTGGGACAGCTTGCTCTTGGCACAATCAAGACACTAGCACCAATCTGCAGAGCTATGAGGGAATTCCAGAGTAGTCTCATTGTAGCCGTGCTGGGTGAAGCTCCTGGTATGTGCACTCCCCAGCTCTGGAGTGCGCTTTTGGTGGGAGCCAGGTTGGAGCACTGTCTCAGCAGCACACAGAGAGCAGGAACGAAAAGGGGGAGCGCTGGCAACCATAACGCCTTTTATGAGCTGCCCTGTTCCAGATCTTCCTGCCCACAGAGACATGCCCATGCCCCGCACCTACACCCCTGCCCTTACTCTGCAGGCCAGCACACTGCTCATGGAGCAAGTGTTAATGGTCTGTGCTCCAGAATCATTGCTATGGAAGACCACAGGATGAGGCAGGACCCTGGAAGAGACCCCATGGGAGGCAAGGGCTGCTTGCCCAGTCCAGGTCCCTCATTCATACCAGCCTCTCTGCCCTCCTTCTATCCCATGCTCTTCCCTCCCAATTCGTCTCTCTCCCCACAAAACCAACTTGCTCCCACCCCTGCAAGCGGAGTTCCTCACTGACAGGGCAGCCAATGCTGAGCTCAGCACTGCTGCATAGCCAGGCTAACACCAGGAAACAACAAAAGGCATAGCACAGCACCAGGCATTCAAAATCACTGGTTGCCACCCTGGAAGTGCACCTCTCTTCAATGTGACCCAGTACAGACTTGCTGATCTCAAGCATCCTCTATCCCTTTGCATTGGCTGCTGGGGCTTTGGTAGGGAACAGATTTGATGGTGGGGGAAGGGGGAGTGGAGAGGAGCATCTGTGTTTGTGTGTGCCTGATGGGGAAGGCAGGAGGCATATCTGGACAGCAGTCACACCTTTAATCAGCCACCTGGTCTCAGTTCCTCCTGCAAATGCATGCATGCATTGCTGAGGCTTTAATTAGTTGGTTTTGTAATGTACAGCAGGAGCCTCCCAAGCCTCAGATTGATACTTCTCAGCTCAGCTGTATCAGTGTAGACAAAAAGAGAACTGGGTGTACCAGACCAGGTGGGCACTGTCGGCAGGCCTAATTGTCATTCCTGCTCCATGCTCCTCTATGGGGACAGATGACCAAGGATCCTCACCCCACTCCCTTCTCACAGACACCTTTCTGCACCTGCACCCATGCACCAGGCTGGGGAAACCATTCACATCATGTGCCTGGTCACTGAGAGAAGGAATGGGTTTCTTGTCTGTATGGATGTATCCTGAAGAGGTGTCAGCAGTAATAATGATGTGTCTCACAGAAGATTTCTCATTTTTGAGGAGGACGATAAGGGGATTCGAATCATAAAGCTAAGCAGTGTCATGGGGATTCAGCCATCAGCTGAGGACGCATAGCAAGCCCTATCTCATGGAGCGCTATGAGTTTTGGGGTCCATGCATGGCAGGGTGGGAGAGGCTTGACAGCCATCACACCTCTGATCAGCTGCATGGTTCCAGATCTTCCCACAAAATTTGTGTGTCACTTGCACATTACAAGGCAATTAGCTCCCATTTGACAGCCAGCAAGACAGATGATGAGCTGCCCTTGATCAGCCTTAAACAAAGCTTTGTGCCTTGCAAAGCAGGAGATAGAAAAGTCCCAGTGAAACCTATTCATCTAATTGCCAGGCGTTCTGCTGACAGCCAATCTGAATCCTTTGCATTAA